ACTAATTACTTAAACTCGTTAATTTAAGTTAATACAGAAAAATGTAAGTCAAGTTAAAAGTTAAAAGTTACTTTTCTTTTTACATGTAAAAAAAATTATCATATATTTTTATTAAAGCTTAACAAATAACATAATATAGCGAAAGTCTTACTATTTTTAATAAATATAACATGTAATAATTTTATAAATTAATAATTACGTCTATTTAGACGCAATAAAATAGACTAACCTAACCCGTTCCCGTCCCCCACGAGTTGTATTTAATTATTAAATTAACCTTCCCTTTTAAAAAAATATCCTGTTTATGCGCATGTATTCATAACATTATCGTTATGTGTTAGCTGGTATCTGTATACAGGGTGATTAACCAAGCATGCTCACCCTCTTTTTTTTTCTGTAATAATGATGAAGTTACTCAAAATCTGATTTTTGCAATCTTTAAAAATATTATACTCATCAGTCATCATAGACCATATATTCAAATTTTTGAGATTTGATAGTTGATACTTAAGGAGTATCTTGTGACAATACAAATTTTTGTTTTTCAAATGAGTACCCCCTTTTTTACTGTAAACTATTCAGTGAATAATTTTTTTGAGAATTTGGATGTACCGAATTCAAAATTTGAACGAGGAGTTTCCTGGTTATTCAAATATTTGATCTAATGATAATAATCGTGAAAAATCCTTTTACATACTATTGAAACTAGTATTTAATATGATACTTAAGTCATTTTTACTAATTATTTCGTTGATAGATTAATATTAATGGCTAATRTTTTCAAATCCACCTTAGACCACATATCTTATAAACCTAAACCATTGACCTTTTATCCTTAAAACACAAAGTTAAATAACTCAAAAATTACTTGTTAGAATTTTGATTTCAACACATCAAAATGTATATAAAAATTATCTGCCAAATAATTTAAAGTAAAAAAGGAGGGGGGGTTCTCATTTGAAAACAAAAAGATTGTATTACCACAAAACACTAAGTGGTTCAAAAAATCTCAAGAATTTGAAAATATAGTCTTTGAGTATTTATAAAGATTCCAAAAATCAGATTTTGAAAAACTTTAATTTAATTGAAGAAAAACAGAGGGATGCTTGGTGAATCACTCCGCATATATTATTTATCGTTATTTAAACGTGGCGAGTGTGTTGCGCCTGCAGAATATATGACGAACCGCGAGAACACTCGAAGCGTCGAAGCTCACGGGTTCGGGGCCCAGAAAACTTATTCCGAATTGAAAATATATTGTGTTGGTATTTCATTAAACATTTTTATGCGTGTAAATTATGTAGTTAAATTTTCTTGTCGGATGTCAAAACCGTTTGGGTCGCGCCGATAGGGATGTACCACCCTTCATATTTAATATTTCATAAWATATTATTATTATCGCTATACCTATATACATACATTTTACAATGTTCATATAAATATATAATATTATATTTAAACGACGGAAGAAAATGTCGCGCGTACAAACCGCGTACTCGCATTCACCGCGCGGCGCCCCGAAAACTTCTTCGGAGCCGAATAAAATACATGTCACCTCCATCCCACCCACCCTGTATACTGACGTATTTCCTTTACTGTGCTGCACACGCCCGCCCGCGCAAAACCCACGTCACAACCGCCGCTTCCACCACCTCTGACTCTCACACACACACACACACACACCTACCTCTTGCCCACACCGCACCCCGCCGGCGTCGTCGCTGCTGCTGTTGCTGCTGCAGCACATCAACCGCAGGAGTTGCAGCCAAAACTAATAACTCGCAGAAACGACGGCGACGGCGGTGGCGCGGTGTGTTTATGTGTATGACACAACAGAATTCCGCTAATGGACGTGTCACGAACACTCGGACACGTACTGGGCGGGCAAAGCCGGCGTGGCTTTTGGTGGCTGGAACATATATAATATATATATATTATATGTATTTATATTATAAGCACTCACACACACACACACACACACACACACACATATGATATATATAAGCGATCACAAGCGGCGGCTTTTGTGTGCGGGAGCGCCCTCGCAATGCTTAAAAAAAGCTAAATAAAAATAAACGGTATACGAGTAATATTATTGGGTCGTACCCTCGTACCTGTACATAATATACGAACAACGTATCTATATATAATATATATATACTTATATTTAATTATTTATTTGTTTGTTTGATTAAAATGTCATGTTAGGTATTATAATACACATATAATATAATGATATACACAATGGTTGAATAATAATTTCATTATTACCTAGAGAAAAAACGGGCATGGCCGTAATATATTTAGATGGAATCGGTCTGTTTATTTTTTATAATGACTATAGGTTAAGGGACTTATACCTCTAAAAAAATACACAAATATGCTTCTAAAATCATTAAAATATGCATTTATACCTATCCATTAAAAAAAAAAAAATTGACCTCTAAATCTTGGTTAATTTCACTTTTAACTTTAAAAAGTTATTAATTAAAATTTATATCTAATAATTAATAAATAATAAACAATAACTAAGAATTATTAATCAAAGATACAACTTTTATTATTGAATATGCAACAACTAAATTTGAAAGATAAACATTCACCTTAAAATTTTGAAAATATAAACCGAAAATTAAATATTTATAATTTAAATTAAATTTTTTTTTTTAGTAATAATAATCAATAAATAATGACTATAGAAAAAAATTACAATACTTTTAAAAGGCATAATTTTTCTAATTAAATAAAACAACTGTTTCATAAAAAAAAAAATGTTCTCTCTGTAAAAATTACATACATATAATAATTAATTCTACATCATTACGAGTTTCTTGAAAATTACGTTGTACGATTAAATACTTTCTTATGTTTTTGAATGTAAATCTCCGACGGTTACTGGTCCAGTAATACTGGACGATAAATTTTTGTAAATTTAGAAACTCCGTTCAACGTCTGCAGAAGTAATTAGAGCATAATTAAAGTGTGCCGAATCATAATTTGTTATATCTTTAGGCAAACCTTCCAAATTTTCTACATCACCACTTAATGTTTTATGAAATTTCAACACAATATAATAACCAGAATTTTTATCTAAAACATCTTTAATTTTATTTACGATTGGTATGGCCTTGTACATTTCAAGTGACTGATTTTATTTTTTGTATCTTCAATTATTTTAACGAATCCGACAGCTTATTAGTACCTCTTTTTTCTAAAAATTCAAAATTTTCTTTGATAAATGTTAGTTGACCTGGAAGATTACTCTTTTTCAAATACTTTTTAGCGGTTTTTTGATCGTGCATCACCATATCGTAAAATGTTTGTATAACTGAATTAATTTTTGAAAAATGTTCACAATAATACAAGGTGGCATTTATCCAAGTCCCCCATCTTGTTGATATGGGTTCTGGTGGCAACGGAATTTCATTGYTTGTTATGTTTAAAAATGTTWTAATACGTACAAGTGATTTAACTGAAGCTACTACTTTATCAAACTTTGAAAATTTGTCACGCTAGACTAAGCAAAGTATGCATTTAGAGTAAAGGGTATTTACTATTTATACATTTTTCCGCCTCCATACCATGCACACTTATAAACAATAAAACATTATTATGCTGATTTCCCTAAGTCCAAAATATTCCCATAGTCTTGTCAAATAATTATAGTTGAATGATAAGTTTTCTCTGATTTTACGGAATGCAATAAAAAAAAATTCCTCTGCCYTATCAATTTTAATTGTTCCAATAACAGCATTTGCCTACACAAAACGTCCGGCGACTAACAGATACCCAAATTATTTTTTGTCATTATAGTTACTAGTTTTCAACAGAGTTTCTCTATAAATGTCGTCTATACATACCCTTTACGTAAAGTGCATGGTTTCACTATATATATATATATATACTTTCATTCGTATATTTTTCTAAAAAGCTTTTGAACTCGTTGTTCGATAATTTATTTAATGGAATATTTGTTAACAGCAAAGCTTTACACAAATCTTTGTTGAAAGACCTCTTATTGTTATCCAAGTCTAAGTTTGAAACTAATAATTGTTGTGTTGTTTTATTTTTTTAATTTTCATTCCGTTTTACTGATCTACAGTGCTTGTCAGTTTTTAGATGTTGGACCACATTGAATCGTTTATCACTTCCCACTTTTTTCTCACATAGGTACCTATTATACACAAAATAAAACTTGTCAATCGGATGTAAATGTATATATCTTTAACCACCGAAACAAAACTTTTTAGTCGGCTACTCGTAGACTGTTGTACCTTCGGCATTACACAATGTTACAAAATATACTCGTAAGTACGACGTTTTACGCATATGATTCGACGTTATGCGTGGTTGCGAGACACAAAAACAATGACGGATATTAGTCGACTGAACTGAACAAATTTAATAATCTATTATTCTACTATATCGACTACYTAWTATCTTTATCGACATCCGATCGATATCCAACGGGTTATACGGTCRATACGAGTTTATTGTATTATTTATATTTACACAAAAATTATAACGTGCTATGAGAGTGGTAGTTTGCAGATATAATATTATTGAAAGTATTAGTATATTTTTATTTTTTTCAATCGGTTGAAATATGTCATATATGTATAGTTATATGTATCTATAGTTTTTAATTTTAAATTTAAAAAAATTGTCGAAATATGCTAAATAACCATAAAAATTTTAAAATATGCACTTTTAAATTTTAGATCTGATATCACGACACCGAGAAACGAATGTATTTCGCACTCTGCTATATTTAAAAATAATTTTAAAAAGTATGCAAATGCTAGAAGTCCCTAAGCCTAATAATGACGTTTGAACGCGCTCACTTATATTATAGGTACAAGATATAGTTATTGACACACGAATTCGGAATATTTTATATTTTATAATTTATATATAATAATATATTACATTATTTAAATGTAAGAAACTACATACCTGATTATAGAAAACGTGGAATTTATCGATTCCTTTTCGTTTAGGTAAATCAAAAATCAAATCCAAAGACACTGGTTTCTCGTCGACGCCCACTAGCGATTCGTCGGGCGAACACTTACTGAGCCCAACGCACCCGTTACCGGCGCGAATCGACGTCGAATCCGAAAGTATGTATACATATTGAGTTTTTGGGTCGAAAAGATTTATATCGCTGACCTGGCCCAGCAGTGATGACAATAATGCTTGTTATATTTTGTATGCTGCTAAAGCAGTTATCCATATAGCAGTGGCGTGTCCTGAAATTTTCAATGGGTGGGATATTATAAATATAATCATATACATTTTATAATAACTTTTTTCCAAAACAGTTCTTATAACTAATGAGTTATTTTCTGTGTATTGGCAAAAAAATAACATAGGGGGGGGGGATATAACCGCTAACCTTCCCACCCCCCGAGCACGCCACTGATCCATAGACGGTCGTTGATTTTTTTAATAATAATTAAGTAGTACGTTAAGCACACACTACACGCCGCACGCGTAGTTAATTTATAACACCTCTAACTCTATGTATATTATAATAATTATTAATATTTTATATTAAAGCGTTACTTTATTTTTTGTTTTTATTATTATTTAAGCTTCGGCAACTGAAGCCATTAGCTGTAGGTTACAGTTGGTACTGTTAGGTTTATGGACTGTAGGTTTTTGGAACACTTATGCACTCGTCTTTACGTCGTAAAGCGTACTGTAAATAAATTGTATAATATAGTGGATTTCTCTATTTTATTWAATAACATAATTATTCCATTAATCATTTTTTAAGTTATTCTAAGTGGTTCAAAAAATTAGTGATCTGRTCRATATCAATTTGTAATTATGAGTACGTGAGTTGAGATATCTACTTAATTTGAGTTGCCAATGCACCAATATTATGTACAAACAACGACGCCCGTAGTAAATAAAATATGATATGCCATTATACCAATATATCATATTAAGACACGGTAGATGGTGATTTGCCAAGCCAGATGAGCTGGCTATTTCTTTCATTAATAATWATTTATTTATTCAAGTTCTAGCCAAATTTTTGAGATTTGAATGAGGTACTTCTTAAGGAGTGTCTAATTTATTTTATCACCGTATCTTCCAATCATCAAAAATCATGGCCAATGGACATATGCTATCCTCATTCCTCAGTGTGCATGGTTTTAAAATAACACAAAAACTTCACGTTCAAATTTTGATTTTGATACGTCAACATTTTCATTGTAATTGTACACTAAATGTGACTGTAAAAAAAYGATAAAGGTTCTTGTTTGAAAAACAGAAGCATGTATCTCGATCGCAGGACACTACTTAAAATTTGAATATACTTCAACAAATCTCGAGWATTTCAAAAGAATATAGTCTTTACCTAAAGGTGTTTAATAATAYCAAAAATTTTAGAGCATTAGGTACTAGTAACGATATTATTGAGGGAGGCAAAAGGGAGTAAACATTTATGGTAAACGATCCTGTACAATTTTTTTCCTAGCTTTTGTGTATGAACGAATTAAAAACCCAAAAAGTCAATAAATACAATACATCATATACCTATAAGTACAAGTTTTCTTCTCTCGTCCATTTAGGTTCGAGTCCACCATCCGAAACATTCAGGAATCACTCCAAACTCAAGAGGTTTCTTACCACACTAGTGCAATTCAGTGGACAAATATCGCCGCAGACAAGTGAACGAGTTAAGGGTCAGATATTCTCCCTAGTGGTAAGTACACTAACAAATTACATATCATCTATTTCTGAAAAAAAAAAAACGGATTTTTAGTTTCCATTTAAAAACTGCATTAGTATATGATTTTAATTTTTAGTTTATAATATTATTATCAACAGAAAATTATAAGGGTGTAGACTGTCGGAAAAATAATTCATTTTATTATATCTAAATTTGTCTTAAAATAAACGTTTATAACAGCATTTTTGTCTATTTACCGGATGATGTTTTTTTAAATATTTTTTTCATGGTTTCAAGTCGTTACAGCACAAAATGATAGTAAACAATGTATTTTATGCTAATATTWTTTTCATTTTTGTACTTTTTTGAATTAGGTACTACATACAGTTTTGATTTCATCTGATCCCAAATTCAATATAAATTGACTTAGTAAAATATTTTGCTTTGGAATATGAAATTAAAACTTTACATTATCTTTAAAAAAGTTTWAAAAAAAAAACAAAAATGTTAAGAATAAAAAATACTATAAAATATATAATTTATTTAAAAATGTTTTTTTTATCACTATAATAATCATTTATATTTTTTTAAATAATAAACCAGTAGATAAAACCATATTCGTTTAATTGATAATAATAAATATAATTTACAATGCATTCACTCGTTTTTCGTTAATTCCACAGAACAATTTGATAAGTGTTGAAGAATTTCATCATAATATACAAGAAATGACCAACTTCCCATTACGACCATTCGTACTGCCATTTTTAAGGACTCACCTACCTTCACTACAACGTGATCTGCTGTTAATGGCTCGTAACAACAAACAGGTAAAGCAACTCATTGCAAGTATAGATATTTGAATAAAAATACATAAACAGTGATAAATGACAAGCAATCGCATTTTAATAAATGGACAAAAAGAACGAGATAAYACAAAATATACTTTCTGGTGTTAATTAAGCGTTATATTGTACTGTACTGAATATTATAATTAGGGCTTGGATTGCAATGTACTTTGAAATAAATGCATTTATGACCTAAAAAATCTAAAACAAAATGTCATATACTCATATCAATTAATTAGAATCGACYCAGATGCATGCCCCCCAAAAGGGTTCGTCGTTAGCATAGTGTTTACTTGAAATACATTTGTATCTTGGAAAGCATCGTATCAAGCATTCCGAAAAAAGAAGATACAAATGCATCGAAATTCTAGTGCTAATTTATTATAAATACCTATCATCAGATTAGAATTTTTTTTATTAAATATTGAACTGTTTACCCAGCGTGTCCGACGGCCGGAAGTTATTATTTATTATATTATTATTTATATTATATTATTAATTACATAACATTTATAATACGTAATATATATATTTTTTAATATAATATAATATAATATAAATAATATAACATTTATATATACAARACATTAAATTTTATACTAAACATCATAAGCATAACCGTCGGCCGTCGGACACGCTGAGTGGTCAGAGAGGATCGAATCGTAGTGACTGTGGAAACTCAGAATGCTTACCATGTTTCCAAGTCTATGTAACAGACCATTATTTATACCTAATARTTGATAACTTCTTTGTTTATTAATTTGGAAAATCGATCAAATGCCATAAACCTTCTTCGCGATGAGTTCTTCGATTAAAAAAAAAAAAATCATAACGATCGGTTCAGTAGTTTCCGAGAACATGTAGGCCTCAGAKGTTTTCATTTTCACATTTATTTCATAGATAAATGTTTAGTATAAAATGCGAGGTATGAGTTTTATTATTTGTAAGCCTATTTCAATTTAGATATTATGTTGTATTTGCCGCTTTCTTTCGTCGTATTTTTTTTATTTTAATGCGCATGCGTTACCTAMATTTTTATATGCATCAGACAGAGAGAGTTATTGTCATCTGCAAATTCGTATTAGYATTATATTATTAAAATTAAAAATTCGACGAAAGAAAGCGGCTATCACAGTATAAATCACTATTTTTCCCAGGACAACGCCGGGTAATTCAGCTATCTATTTATATGTGTAAAAATATACTGCTAGCATTATCCAATGATTTTGTATTAATTGATTATATTTATCTGCCGTTAGTGGAATTAAGTAAACATGACCAACTTGGTATAACTTTAATACTATAAAGGTAAATCTTATACTTACGTACAAACAGCACAAGGTCCGCKATCTACCTGATAATATATTATACTTCTGCGAATCAGAATTTTTATTTCAGGTAACGGAAAAGTTAAGATAATAAGTTAAGAACACCATACGCACCGAATATTAAATAACGAATTGAACAAAGTTTGAGCCATATAGATTTAGTAAATTTATAACGGGCAACGAAGTGCACGGGATCAGCTATAGTATATTATAGGTGCAGTGCAGTATACACTATACACCATTTGACGATATTTTATTTATCGACAAAAAATGCACTTTTTACTAATATGTAACTTTGAATGGATCGTCTGGAAATTTTGTTCTTATTTCAAAACTTTAACTGTTAGTTTTATTATTTTTTTTTTAACTAATAAGAAAATACAAAATGTTGTATTTCTTGTTGCGTTTCGCTCAAATTATACGATATATAATCCATGTTTTTTAGTTTCGGCAGTCCTGATAAATCATTCTGGTACATATAGCTAACCCATATGCTCACGCCAGGGATGTTTAAGTGAAATTGTTTATCGCGATGACAAAGGTTTATGCTTTCATAATAATAATACGTAAACCGTCTGTCATACTTTTTGAAAGTTGCCAGCGGCTGATAGTTACATGGGTAAAACGAATATTGGATAGTTGATAACTTAAAAGGGAATAATTGTTACTACCTATATATATTATACTTGTATACGAGTTGTACACTCATGTACCTGACATGAAATATATTTCTTGATATGACATCCTCCCCCGAACAGCTCGAGGCATTATATTTCGGGGTATTATTAATGAACTATTACTATTCCGTATTATTCATACCTATTCAGCCCATTTTCAGTGTTCTTATAAATACCAGTTAACGACTCATCTTTTTTGTGATTTTTAGATTCTGAACAAAATGATGAATGTATTGATTTTACAATGATGTGTGTGTGTTTTTTTTTGTGTCTGTGTACATGCATAACTCGTCGAAATAATGCTTCGATTTCAAACTTTGGGGGTGGTTTCCGATGTAAAAGTGAATATCTTTGGTGCATTATAGAGGTCAAAAGTAAACATTTTCCAACAGTTTTCAAAAAAATCGAGAAAAACAACAACAAAAAGCGGGTAAGTCGTGTATGTCGCTCTGCTGTACAGTAGGTTACAAGTGGGTTACTGTAATGGATGGAATTAAATTTGAATCCAATGAT